AAAGGAGTTGGACCCAAGATGGTTCAACGAAGAGGAAGCGAAGAAATTTCAGGACTCCGATTTGGTTGAATGGGAAGCATGGTTGAAGAATGGGGTGATCAAGAGATTAACCCCAGAAGAGTCAGCTGCGGTTCCGAGATCTCAGGTTTTTCGGGTGCCATTAAGGGTCGTTCGAGTAAATAAATCAAAGGATCCTAAGATTCTCCAGGCCAAGAGTCGGATTGTGATTCCGGGTCACACTGACCCAGCCATTGGGGAGTATCGCACCGATAGCCCCACGACCACTCCCACGGCTGTGAGACTGATGAAAAGTCTCTGTGTGACCTTGCACTGGAGTTGTTGGGTGTTCGATGCGGCAACAGCATTCTTAAGTGGCCGCCATACTGACCGCCTGGTGTACGTTCGTGCACCTCCCGAGGGTTTGCCAGCCACGGCCACTTCCGAGGCCGTTCGTCCGCTTGAGTTGATGCGTGTGGTCAAGTCAGCCTACGGGTTGGCAGAGGCTCCAAGACTATGGTATCTTCGCGCCTTTTGTCGGAGCACATTCATAGCCAAGGACAGTGACGGCGTTTTTGCCTTGTGTGGTCTACATGTAGACGATGGTTTCCTTACCGGTGACCCCAGAAACCCGAAGTTTGAGGCATTGAGAAAAGGGATTGATAAGGTCTTCAACATCAAGGCTTGGGAGGCTGTGGATGAGAAAGGTGTGAGCTATCTGGGTATGAAGGTGAAGTACGATGTCAAAAAGAATGTCATCATTGATGATATGTCGGAATACGTCTTGAAAATTGAGCCCATGACGGTTCCACCAGATTCCAACCATCGTTTGGTTGGAAAAGAACTCACCGCCTTCCGACAGTTGATCATGAAGATGAGATGGCCTGCTCAACATGTGTTTCCTGAATACATGTTCAGGATTTCCTTTTTGGCCCAACGTGTCTCTACTGCAGTGGCATCAGATGCCAAGGAAGCCAACCTTTTGTTGAAGGAGATGCATGATGCAGCACGGGCAGGTGAAGCACAGTTGACCTTTCGTGAACTGTCAGGTGAACCAGTTTTTGTCACCTACTTCGACGCAGCTTTAGGCAAGAAAGATGGAACTGCACAATCAGGAGAACTTCATCTCCTGACAGATGGACAAGTTTTGAGCACCAGTCGCAATTCGAATGTTTTGGAATTCCATTCCAACAAGATTGCTCGTGTTGTTCGCAGTAGCATGGCCGCCGAGAGTTGTGCTTTGACCAGGGGAGCCGACCACCAATTGTTTAACAGACTCTTGTATGAGGCTCTCAGGTTCGGAACGATCGAGGTCAGTGCACAATGGCGTGAACGCCTGCGAGTACCAGGAATTCTGGTGACCGATGCTAAGGCACTGTACGATCACTGTGGTGCCACCGGCCATCTGGCTCAGGAAAGGCAAACAGCCATTGATCTCTTGATGTGTAAGCAGATGATTGAACAGAAGCTGTTGGTTTTGAGGTGGGTGCCGACATTTAAACAACTGGCAGACAGTCTCACGAAAAACATGAAGGATGTTCTTTTGAAAGCGCTGAAGCGAGACGGTCGGATTTGTCTGATTTCAACGGAGGCGGATCTTAAGGAAGAAGAACGCCGTTCGGCAATTCGAAAGGGGCAGCGTGAACGAAGAGCTGCCCGAGCCCGATCTGTGCAACAACTTCCTTTTGGGATGTGAAACTTTCAGTCTTTTTGCATTAGCATTGCACAGATCGCTGTACCGAGCTTAGAAACGGTCGACCGCAGGTGACGTCACTCGAGTATGCAAAACAGCTTTGCATTGCTTCGCTTTTGCTTGTGCCGCTTTATTGGAAACCCTGTTCACTGGGGTGGTTGCTTTCGCATTTTGCTATTTGGTCCTAGCGTTTTCGATTGGTTAAACAAGGTGCAGCCCCTTCTTGTTTACACTTCATGAATCGGATCCAACAAAAATCACCCCCTGGATTCATGAGTTCATTTTGGGAGTCCAAGCTTTTCAGGTGCCAAGAAGCTTTCCGGGAATTGGCCAGCAAAAAGATGCAGTCGGTAGCGATCACGGCCCGCAATGCTTCCACCTTCTCCCCCACCATGTCCTTCCAAAGACAACTGCTCGTCATCTCGTGAACATCCTGAGCTCTCCCTCAGGTCCCAACAGTTGACATAATGGACGGATGATTCAATTTGAATGTCAGCAAACATGTTTTGAGATGTTTTATGAGTACCTTGGAAGGTGGCTCACTGGAGTGCGACCTTTTGTTGGAAATCATGGATGCCTGGTCGGGACAACGTCAGCAGCCCTATGGCTGTCGCCCAGAAACCACTTGAATATTCCTATATAGAAGTATGAACAACGCCCACTACCTGATGTTTCTCTTTTTGCGCCATACGCATATCTCTGGCGAACGGGTGGCGCAAAAGCGGCAGGAGGCTCCATCATAGGAAAGCACTGCTGCAGCTTCTAGTTGGGGGGTCGGCACCACTAAAGACCACTGCCTTGGCGAGTTACGACAGGGAAATCCTCCGTATGAAGATTTCGTTGGAGCAACATTGAAAGCCACTGCTCAAGAGCGAATGGAAGCATAGCGTCGCATGATGTCAGACCATGTTTCAACAAGCAAGCCAAGCAAAAAAAAAGCACTCAAGAGAGAAAATAACCAAGCGCACTAAATATAAACATATATAAACAAGAAGAACGGGCAAAAACACATGCAAAGAGGAAGACATGAACTTCTGCTCCCATGGACTGAAGCCATTTCCAGGCACCATGCTGACTCACCGCTGAGACGGCCAGAGTCGGGCACACAAAATGACCCGGATTTCTCTCGCACTAAGACACCCAATCCCTGTCACCTCACGTCTTTGCACGCCAAACCGCCAACCCTGCTGAGCACGCCAAGTTCACAAAAATCCGCCCTGCTGAGCACGCCAAGCTGCAATTCCAAATCCCAGGCCGCTGCGCTTGTCTCGAAGCGGAGGCCCTCACGAAGCGTTGGCTTTCCGAGTCTCAAATGGTTGATGGCCAAGGCCAAGCGTCCATAGAGCTTCCGCCATGCAGAACCTCCTGTGAAGCGCAGCTCCAGCAGTTCTCCACCGAAGCACTGGAGGCTCCGATGCTGCCAGCAGGGATGAGCTTCAGCCACCTCTGCCGTAGAAGTGCAGGCGCAACACCACTGTGGCCTCAACAATCGGTGACCCCTGTCTTTGTTGGTGCATGATCTAGTTGGCGTCAGATGTCTCTTGAAGTAGATCGATCTACTTCGTCTAGGCCTAGAAGCTATTTGGCGTCCTGAGCGGCCGACAGGACAGTGTTGGGCACGAACCAAAGGATGATGGAATGCCTGACTCACCGAGTTGGAAAAACAGACTCACCCTGACTCGGTCAGCCAAACATGATCTGACTTGCTGAGAACCAAACACACAGCTTGGTATGCCATACGGCTGATCCATGGCATCAAGTCATCTGTCTGGCTGTTCGTCCTATTCTAGTTCAACGGCCGAACACTGAAAAGACTCGAGTTGGCGTAAAAACTGATACAGTAAGTAACAGGCTCGATTGTAAAAAGGAGCTCAGCATTCAGGCAAGAGGGGCATCAGGAGAAACGTGGATGATCATACGAGTGATTGGTGAAGTCTCTTCAACGGAGCGCAAATTATTGTCCTCTGTTTACTCTCCACTTGTGTGTATATCCGTGTCTCTCTCTCTCTCGCATGCAGGAGAAAGATGCGATATTATATATATATATAGGACTGGCTGAGTTTGACTTGCATGCTGTTGAAGCTTGAGCCAAATGACTTCAGGCCCAGGTTGGGTCGAGCCCACATGCCAACTGCTCCAAGATTCAGTGCGGAGCCCGTGCTCTGAAAACGCAATGAAAGTACGCAATAGCACGCGAGATGTAAACGTTCACCGCACAAATGACACAAACAAAACCGCTGAAGAGCGAAGCGTTTAATCCCAAGCCTTCGACCTCAATGCCTTTCAAAATGTCGGGGATGTCCTTGGCCAACTCCCGCAAAAACTTGAACTCCTGCATGGGACCGTCGACCAACCTGTCGAGGTGATGGCACCTCTGTTGGGATGACCTTTGATTTGTGCAATCGAAAGAACACCTAAGTCATGATGCAAAAGCTCAATGGATGCAAGATTGCATTCCAATCGCTGACGGTTCCATAACTCCAACCCCCGGTCCGTGGTCACACCGATTCCAACGAAGATGATGGATAAAGGGATGTCCAAGCAATTCCTCCACAGTCAGGATCATAGAAAAGGGCTGGTGGATAAGCAATACTATGCAACACTATCAGTTGTAAGCATCTGTGACTCCAAGTCCCAAACAAATGCTCCTCTCTGGGGACAGGAGCATATTCTTGATATGGCACTGCTCGACAAAACTGATGAAAAAAGGTGGATCCGCAAACAAATGAACAACGCCTTTCCACCAAAGCCAACTATTTCGCTACATGTTGGGCTTCCGTTCAGCTTCAACATGTCCTAAATGGGTAGTGAAAACAGCGCGGCAATGATCCGGCCCACTTCGCCTCACTTGTCGCACCACTTCTTCTTGATCCTGAAGCAAGCAGAAATGGACTCACCCGAATAACTCCAGCATCGGTGCCATATGTGAGCGAACAGCCTTTACGGCACTTCATTCCCAAATGGAGGCCATGAACATGATCTAAATATATGATAATATATGGACTGACATTCTGATACTGCGCAATCCCCGAAGCAAAACAAGAGTCTTCATTTGTCATCCATACATCTCTTTATGCTACAAGACTCTTTTCTAGCACGTGAAGCTAGCTTTCTGATCTGCTCTTGCAGATCTTGCAAGATGCCAAGGGATGCCAAGGGATGCCAAGGGCATCGGTCACACATCCCTTTCTCACCTCCCAGAGCCAGTTTCAACTCATTGAAGGCATATGTTTTTGCGGCAAGCTTTGTACCTAAGAGCGGTGGCCCCAATAGGAATGGTCTTCAACCTGAGAGCGGCAAGCTTTGTACCTCAACTCTCTTGTGGCTCCATTTCGAGCCCATTCTCGACTAACGGGACGTTGTGTGCAGTGTCATCCGGCATCACATTCCTGGCACAAAGGCTCGGGGTTCTAGTTGCAAACAAAGGCTACAACAACTCCCTCGAAGAGACAAACCAACGCAGCGTGCCCTCCTTGCCACAGCCTGGTGACTTGACTCGCCGCAGTGATGCTTCTCCTCACTGTGATGCAAGGTGTCGAGCCGAAGAATCTCTGCCTGAGCGTGGCGCACCAGGCTTGTTGCAACAACTCATTCACTGAAGATTGACCGAACTGTGACAACATACTTCTCTGGGCAGGTGGATCTCCATACTAGCGGCTACTATATAGCGTCTTAGATGGACATAAAAATGGCGGCAATGTGTGAGTTCCACGCTTGAAAAGCACCTTCTACTTTCATGCACTCAACGAGTTTACAAGGCCGCAGGTAGCTCAACCATCTACCAAAAGGCTAGTCCCCTTTAGGATCCTTTAGGTAGTTTAGGTATCTTGACTACGCAGGTGTTCTAAAGCGGGCAGTGTTTCCTGAGTTTGCAGCATCCTACAGCTAAGGCCCGGACCGCGCAGGGGTGTTGTGTCAAGAAGATAACTTTCAGCAGCACGCCGAGAACGGTAAAATACATCCTGAGTTCGCGTCTGTCCCAGTGAACCACATGAGCGAACTAACACCGTTCCTCAAATATCATGACTAACACCGTGGCTGGCTCCGGATTCTCATACTGTCCCAGCCTTTCGAGGAAATGCCCTATTTCTGGAGGATGCTTCAAGATTCACGAATTGTAGGGACCTCTGCGTTTGTGCATCGATAACACGTTCCGACGTGTTCCGACCATGAATCACCCCTTCATGTGTGCCCGTAGCCGCCCAGCGTCTCCACACTCGCAGCCTGACCAATGTTCCGGAAGAGCCGATAGGCAGCTGAGTGGTGCTGTTCCTCGTGCTCAGACTCCTCGTGCGCAGATTTGGTGCTGTTGGTATGAGCGTACCTTCGATAGGCCGCTGATGAAACGAAATGCGTCACAAAATCTGGAGCCAACATGCTTCCCATAAGCTCCTTAAATTGCCCACTTTGCACATAGCAAATCATAGCAGTATAACATAGTATAACGGGGCATCGCTACTAGGAAGCCGTACTACTTGGAGCATCCTTACTAGTAGCAAGAAGCTACTAGGGGCATCGCTAGGAAAACGACCACCCTCTCAGACTCTTCGCTGTCAAGCTACTGTCGCCATCGGACCTCCAATTCGTCGCAAAGGGCGGCATCAAAAGTCGCCTCCTCGGGGACACCGAGATGTCTTACGGATGCAGCAGCCAAGCCGCGCCTGCTTGAGGATGGAGACGTTTGCGGCCACGGAACTCAGTCAAGTTTTCTTAAAAATCTAGGAACCAAATGATGGGTGCGTGAGCTATCCAGTCTGCTAGGAGCCCACAAGTTTGCCCTCACTATTAAGTAGATGCCTACTTAATTAAGTAGTAGGGAGGCAAAGTGGGCTTCACAAAAAGAGAAAAACAAGAACCACCCAAATGTCACCGAGCCAGCATGGACATGGAGAGTGCAATCTTACGTCAAACCATCCAGAATGTCGACTGAGGGTGAGGCCTTAAGTGATGCTCGTTCAAGCGTCCCAGGTAGCAATAATTCACGCGATCGTCTGCCCACAAACAACGAACAGCTTTGTCGCAAATGAGATTGGTGTACTCGCGCTGGTTAAAGACTTCATCCACAGAGGGATAGGTGCAACATCCTGGAAGATCCTTTGTCAAGCGCAGAAGAACTGGCAAGTGGTGGAACCGACGACAATGTTGAACTCTAATCCTTTCTTTTTTCGGAGGGGTGGCACCTGCCTAAAAAACAGGCCTCAAAGTCCTTTCATCGATTATATATACTCTCACCTATATATTCTGGCTAGACTCTTATTGTCAGTTTCCCTAGTCGAGCGATTGCAATGACAGCTCTGAACAGCAGCCGTGGGCAATGCAAGTCTGACGCACTCTATATTTATTCAAAATGCTCCTAGTAGCGTCCTTGCTACTAGTAAGGCCAGGAGCTACTAGTAGCGATGCCCTTTGCTCCTAGAAGCTTCAAAAATGTCCAAGCCGCTGATGCGATTTCACAATCTTCCATGATCCTGAGATACAGAACCATGGTTCCAGCCACATGAACCCTCAGCCCAGAAGAACACGTGACATAATCGAGACCATACTGCCACCATCTGCCCTCAATCCAGCAACTGTCAAGTTTTCCTGAGGCTGCTGTTCTATGTTGTCCTTGTTCGACTCCACCACAAGGGTGCCGCTGGTTGGGGAGGAAGGTCGACGCTTCGCCAAGCTGCTGGAAAATCACAAACATGGTTCCAGCAAGCCTCTGCCACACTCAGGCTTGGCGCTGATGTGTGGTAATCAATGCGCACTACACTCAAAGAAGCGTGTGGCACATTGTAGTTCTGAACTGTCGCCTTTGGCACCTCTAGTTTCAAACGAGCGGCACAAAGGCAAACCACACACTGCACCTGTTCCTGCCGGCTACTCGAGGTATGGCACAAAAGTACTATGTGAGGAATTTAGGACGCTACTAGTAGCTCCTGGCCTTACTAGTAACAAGAAGCTACTAGGGGCTCCTGACATCGCTACGATCGGGGCTCCTGGCCGTACTACCAGAAGCAAGTAGCTACTAGCAACAAGAATCTACGAATGGAACAAAGGGCATCGGTACGAACGGAGCGTTTTTCGTGCCTAAAGCTGGATGGGCTAACAGGAGGCCGCTTCCAGCAGTAGAAGGTGAAGGTCACCAATCCCAACGGCACGAAGAGTCCAATCGACCGAAAGAAAACACTGATCCAAAGGCCTCACGAGATTTCTGCGGGGAGTGAAGGACAAAACAACACACAAATCCTCTGGGTGCAAGCGCATCAAATTTTCAGGTGAGTTGCGAGCTGCTTCCATCCTCAGGAATGGGTCAAGCTGTGAGTCCTAGTGTCCTCCAATCCACTTCCTGCACTTCAGAAGCCCGCCCCCATAGCTATGTCCCACCCATAAACAGCAACATGAACGGTGAACCGTCACCCAACCTTGGACTGCATGTTGACATGATATAGTTTGTTGGGGACTTTTGGGCAACACAACCTCAAGATCCAACAAAGCTCGGGCTGTGAGCGTAGCGGTGCTGCCTGCTCTATGCGCCTTGATGCCATCTACCCTTTCTGCAATTTGGCCCAGGCTTGACTTAGTACATCTTAGTATGTTCCAATGCTCAGCACATGGGACTTCACAGTCCACAGGTTTGATCCCAATCCGGCAAAGTTTCTCAAGGATCCCATTCACATTCCCGATCAAAGCCAGCGACACTGTGACCGACATCAGGATTGAATCATAATCCTCGAGATGTTGCCATGGTACCAAGCAGCCACCCCAGTTCTGCTGAGGAGTTGACACTTGACAGAACAACCGACTGTCAACAGGTTTCTTTTCCACTTTTGCATGTGCAACTAGGGAGCAAACGTATTAAATGTCACACCCAAATCTGGTGTACCCCCATCTGTGCACAACACAGTTGCAGCCGGCAAACACCACGGATCCCTGAAAACACTCGAGTTTTGCAGCCGGTATGTGCGGCTCCTCACTTTTGCAAAAACTCATCCGCTAAGGGGGTTGTATTAAAGTTCATTGCTACTAATATGTGTATATATATGTGTGTGTGTGCACCTTTTAAAACATGTTCTTCAATTACGCGCACTGACACACTCTGACATTGGTTTTCAGTTACACTCAATTTCCCGATGGGAAGAAAGGCGAAGAATCGCAAGGTGGAAAAGTCAGCTGGAACAGTATGGTTGAACATGGTTTCCAATCGCTCTCAAGACGCGGCTGCAAAGCGGTGCAAGGCTGCGGACGGCTGCTGTAAGAAACCTGTTTGGGGGGGGGGAATATCATGAAACACCAAGAAACAAAAAAGCGAGAGTGGACAGCTTGTCAACAGTTGAAAAGGAAAGCAGGTACGTGAACCTGGCGTCCCAGGTTCATATCCTCTCCAATCATCAGTAGCTTCGTTGGCCACAGACTGATGAAAGGAGCTGTGGCCCCCTGCCTCGTTGAGTGGTTGTAGTGAAAAACAGTGGAACCCTTTGGTACAGGGGGTGGCACACACAGGTCGCCGTGATCGGCGCTTTTTCTTTTCAAAAACCGGCTGCAAGCTGTTGAGTCGTGTCCTTTTTGGACGTAGAGTTTCACAAGCTCAGTGGCAGCAGCGTCAGCGCTCGAAGGTGGAAAGGTGTATTTGTGGATTGTGTGAAGTCTTGAGTGGGGCCCAGACAGAGCCAAGCGCTGGCTCCCGGCGCTGGTTGCGTCCCTGATTTTCCAGGGTTGTAGAGGTTGAATGTAGGTGATGGTACGTTGTTGTAGGTCAATGTTGAACCCCAGAAGGTGAAAGTCGTCCACTGGCTCAAGTTCCACTGGGTCACCAAAGAAGTTGTGATGGATAAGGGTTTGAATGGCGGGGTGTTGGAGAAGTGTTCGTTGTGGACGATGAATCTGTTGTCAACATATCGGTAGTATGCAAAGTGTAGGTTGGTGTGTTGGAGGAGGTTGTTGTGGATCTGGCGCCAGGAGTGTTCGATGAGAGTGATGGCTATGTTGCAAAGGGCAGGAGAGAGTTGGGATCCAATCCCAGCTCCTCGGACTTGTTTGTAAGTGTTGTTGCATGCCCGGAAAATGCAGGTGTCGAGTGCATAGGCAACAATGGTGGTGATGTCGGAGGTCTGGATGGTGCGTTGTGTGGGGTGTTTTTGGTGATGCCGGCCGATGTGAGAATGGTGGAATGGGTGGCCGGTTGCGTGGACGTCAATGGTGAGGGTGTGTGTGGATTGTTGTGCTTGCCACTGCTGGGGAACCGAGTTGAAGAAGCCAACCAGATCATCGTTGGTGGCATATAGGGAGATGTCCGCTGGGGTTTTGGTGAGGTGGCAGTGGAAATGGCGCCAGAGTTGTGGGATGGAAAGTTGGCCTGGATGTTGTGGATAGAGGTGTTGGAGAATGATGTCCAAGGCACGGCTAGTGATGCGCAGGAGGTTGCCGCTGAGGGAGTGGAAATAGGAGATGATGGCGCGGCCTTTCTGCCAGTGCTTCTTCTCTTTGAGATGGACCACTCCATATGGAATATTGAAGTCCTTGCGGAAGCCCCATTTGTATCGGGTGCGTAGGGTGGAGGGTACAGTGGCTTGGAGGTGGTCTTGGATGTTGGTGGCTGTCAGGTATGGAAGTGGTGCAAAAAGTTCGGGAGATTGCCATGTGTTGAGGGCTCCGGTAAAGTATTGGCGAGGGCAAAAAACACGGAGCTGTTGGAGTTCGTGATCGGCATGGTGAAGTGCGGTGTGTGGGCCGAGATATTCTTGAAGCTGTCTGAGTAAGCGGGCAGTGAATCTGGGATGTTGTTTTAAATGGGTGTTGTGAAGGCGCCATTGGTGCTCGAGGAAAGGTTGCAGATGCTGCGTGAGGGATGGTGGAAGTCCCTGGAGCTTGAGCCATTTTGTATAGGCCGTTTGGAAGGTAAGGAAGTAGCGCGCCTTGCTGGGATAGTATGCGCTGTTCATGTTGGCGTTGAGAAAGATGTTGAGGTGTGGTGGGAGATTGAGTTGGTCGAGTGTGAGAATGTAGTGGTCGTTGGTGGTCGGCGTGTCCGGATCTTGGAGGAGTCTGCGGAGGTGGGTGCAGGCGCACGGTAGATCTGCTGGATCTGGTGGCGATTGCAGAGTTTCCTCCCATGTGCGGTTGTGGAGTTGGGATCGAAGGGTTTTGTGGGCTGCTTCACGTAGGCGGTGTGACGGGAGATGGAGAGGAATGGCCAAATGTTTGTGCTGCTGGATGGTGGTACGGAGCCACTGTTGGCAATGCTTTGTGAAGTCTTGGTGCGCCAGGAAAGGCACAGTGAGAGGAATGTTAGGCTTGGGTGGCGTAAGATTGCGGAAAAGGAGGGCTTTGTTGATGATGTGGAGTGCCCTGCTGCGGCCTGGTTCTTCCAGATTGGCGGCCATGCGCCTGATGGCGTAGACTTCGAGCTCTGTGCGACGGCCACTGCGCAGCTGTTTGGCCGCTTCAAAGGAGGCTGCCGTGTGTTTGGTAAGGTCGCGGAGTAGCGTGAGAGCATGATGTTTTGTGGAAGTGTAAAGGTGTGGTTCTCTGAGTGTCGGTTGGCGGAGGCGGAGTCGTCGAAAGAGGCGTTTGTGGGTGGCCAGTCGGGAGTAAAACCCTTGGGCTTTGAGCTTGAGATGGTGTGAGATGAAGGGCCAGTTGAGTGTGGGCATCCAGTTGGCAATGTGGTGATGTTCTTGGATCCAGGCCTGATCATAGGTGTCATGGGATGTGAGCTGGATGGTGGTGTAGTGGTGGATGTTGTTGTGGGCGTGCCAATATCGTAGGGAGAGCTCTGCTGATACGGGGATGTTGTTTTGGAGTTGCTTGAGTTTGGCTCTGCGATTGTGTTCTCTGTGGGGAATGCCAATGGCTGTGGAGCCGATGTAAAAGTGGCCATGTTGGTGGTAACAGCAATGTGGTGTGGTGGGGTTGAAGTAGAGCTTGATGTAGACTGAGTTGTGGGAGAGAAAGTTGTGGTAGTGGTAGGTGTGTGGAAGAATGTGAAGCTGGCGGAAGCGGTTGCGCCACTGTTGGGATCGGTGTGTGGTTGACGGATATGAGAAGAGGAGGGTGAGGTGGATGAGGCCTGTCGTGAAGATGGCCTCTGCTCGTTCAATGTATTGGGTGTAGTGAATCAAAGTTGACAAGGCGCGGTGAAGGTGGAAAAGATGTTGCATGGTGGTATGGCTGGGCTGCTGCTGGCTGAGAAAGCATAGTCAGCAGCCAATGGACGCACCGACGCTGACGAGGTGTTGGAGACTGCGGATGGGGAGTCGGTTAACACGGCCAAGAGGAAGGCCATAGCGAGTGGCAGCTTCCTTTAGTTGTCGCGTGGTGACCTTGCTGGTTTGGAGAAGGCGTAGAATTTCATTGGCCGACTCCTGGACTGCGGGGTCAAAAGTAGTGACCCATTGCTGGATGTCAGTGGTGGTCCAGGTCTCAGGGACGTCATCTTTGAGGGAAGGGTGCGGAGGCTGCAGGACGTCAGCCAGGACAGGTGGTTTGTGTGCTGGCGGTGGGGGGGTTGTTGTGGGTGGATGTGACGCATCTGCGGCGCTGGAGGAGTAACTGGCGCCTTTCGTGGGGGTGAATGGAACGCCCAAGTTGTGGAGCTTCTGTTTTGCGCGGGCAAGCTCATCGGTGGCGGATTTGAGTGCCCGTAGGGCTGTGCCTTCCGCTGGGGCTGGTGAGTGTGATTGGAGTTGTTGGATGAGGAGGTTGATCAAAGGGGCGTGGAAGGCACGTGCCTGCGTTGTCTTGCTGGGGATGTCGTTGCCTTGTGAGGTGTGGAGGGTCTCAGCTATGGCGTCCAGGTCGGCGCTTTTCCCGGATCTCTTGGAGGAGATGCGTGACAAAGACCGATTCGGCCACGCTCCGGGTAGCGATGAAGCCGCAGTACTTCCCGTGGCTCAAAGTGCGGGCGGTATATTCGGCCGTACCGTGATATGCGAGTTGCCAGGGGAAAATGTCAAAGGTAGGAAGACCAGCAATGCCGGCCTTCCGTGACCATTGGGTAGGTTGGATTGTTCGGTGGAGCTGGTGTCCGTGGAGGGTGTTGGAATACCAATGGTGGTCACTCTTGAATGGTGGGTTTGGGAGATGGGACATGGGGTGGTGGTGGAGGTGCTGAAGTGTGGCCAGCGGGGTTCGGTGGCTGCGGGCTGTGTTTGAAAGATGGGCCGGGCGGGGTGACTGGCGCCGTGGTGGGGAGTGGCGGGGGTGGTGGTGGTGGAAACTCTGGCTGCAAAGGTGGAGTCAGCTGGGATGGATTGGGCGGCGGCGATGGTGTGTAAGGTTGTGTGTGGTGCGTGTGGTGAGTGCGAAGAGCGTGGGTGAGAGGACCATAAGTGCCTGTAGGATTGTATGACTGGTGGCTGGTGGAAGGGTTTGTGGTGGCGGCGTCTGTGGAGGTCAGCTGCTGATGTTGTTGCTGCTGCATGAGGTAGTGGTTCCAATAGTATTGCTGCCACTGTGCGTCCATGGTGGAGTGGGGGTTGGAACTCGAGGGATGGCAATCGTGAGCAGTTGCTTGAGCAGGCTAAAATGTTGAGGCCGCAAGAGACATCAGAGATATGTACACGCTGATGTGAAAATGTAGTGAAGCCGCGGCGCAGGACCGCTGTTAAGATCCAGGCTGAATTGAAATCCGAATAGCAGCGTAAAAGAGTGAAACGTACAGTGTGGGCAAAACTTGAAGGATCAAAACTGGAATGCGGATGTCGCAATCGTTTTGCGTGGTGCGTAGTGAA